ATATTTATTATATTAAAATAATTAATTTTATTTTAGTTAATTATAATATAAATACAAGTTAATAATCTTTAAATAATCTAATATTTATTTATAATTATTAAAATTTTTTTAATAATATTATAAATTTTATATTTTTCAAATATATAATATATAAAATATAATTTTAAGTTAGGAAAAGAGATAATATAAATAATTAAAATTATATATATAAAAAAAATAATACTATTTTCAAAGATAAATAAAATAAATCCAAAAAATTTTTTCAACAAGATAAATATAATTATAACTTTAAAAATAATTTATAAATAAATAAAATATTAATAATTTTTTTATTAATTTAAACAATTATAATTTTATATGGTATATAATATCTAAAATCATTAAATATTTTAGTTTATAAAATATATAAACTTTTTTGTTAAGAAATTAATACAAAATTTAATTCGTAAATATACTAAAATAAATTCTTTTTGAATATATTTACAAATTAAATTTCTTAGCAAAGAAGTTTATATATTTTACAAAATAATGACTTTAGATATTATATACTATAAAAAACTAAAATAATTTTACAATTAAAATAAAATATTATTAATTAATCAAATAAAAAACTTTGTAACAAAAATCAAAAAATTATATTAATTAAACAAAAGTTATTTACTAGCTAATAAATAATAAAAAAAATAAAAAAATAACTAACTCAATTAACTTAATTCTTTTTCTAAAATTATATTTATAGATAAATGATAATTATTAAATTATTAATAAAATTGATAGAGAAATTAATATATTGATTAATTTTTAAATTAATTTTAATTGATATTCAAATTAACAAATATTTGAATTAATATTCAAACTGATTTTTAAATAATATTTTATTTAATAAAATATAAAATATAATTATTTAATAATATTTATAATAAGAATAATTATAAAAATATTCACTTATTTTAATTGTTTTAAAAAGAAAAATAATTGTAAACTCCATGAATGAAAATATTATATAACACCATAAGATTTTCATGTTTTCATAAGACTGGTAATGAACTTTTACCTTAATTTTTGATCATTTTTTAAAGGTAAAAAAATTCATTGGTATCTGGGTGGCAGTGGATTTTTTGTATTTAAATTTTCTAATAAAGTTTTAAAATTATTTTCGAATAATCGCGAATTCATGCCTCGGATATTATGTTGGAGTTTTTATCGAAAATAAATTTTCTAGAGATGTCATATTTTCTGATGCTTGGCTAATAAAGAGGATAAATTTTTCGAGCCCTTTCCGTTTTAGCCAGCTGTTGCTTAACTTCATCATTGGTTAGGAACTTGATGAGTTTTTCTAGTGCTCATAATGCTTTGCCCGAAAGAGTAATAAGATTATATCACCTTCGACTCGTCTGTCGTTGGAATTCGACATTGCATTGGGGATGTTAAGGTACAAAGGAATAAATACTTCGGACATATCAATCTGTAATGCGGGTGTAGATGACACTTAGCTCGAAATTGCTGAATCTTGTTGGGATCAACTCTTCAATGAGTTTTTTTGACAAATTAAATTCTTATTTGCTGATGTGAATTCACTAGTACGCTTGAGTGGCACGATGCTTTTGGTATTACCTTGATCATTTTCGCCCTCTACATCCTCTATTTGATCTAATTCCAAAAGTCTTTCGTCTTGTTCTTCCTCCAGAATTTCTTGCAACATTTTGTTAGAACTGATTCAAAGATTTTTACCTAGCATATTAGTTACAGATGAAGTTCCACTCGATTGGAATAAACTTTGCTCATGGTTGTTTCTATAATTTCAACGTCTTTGCGACAACTAGGAATAAGATACCTTGCTATTGTACGTAAAAGAATTTTCTCAATACAAATGCAATGAGATATGTGGCCATACGCTAGCATGATAATTGACTTAGGAAACTTCGAAAGAATTTTCAATCCGGAATGTGGATACCACTGGCAAAGATTCCTGGTTCTTTTAAAAAATTAAATGCAAGATTCTGACGTGAGAAGTATCCATACTGTCAGTAAATATACCAAAGAAACGAATCATGTTTGTTTTTATACCTTATCAGGATAATTTTCCCACAGCTGGGATCACGATCTACTAGTCTCGGATGCTGTAAATCGAAAATCTTAAAAGGCAAACTAGATTAGTAGAGCATTAACCCCCCCCCCACCAGATTCCCGTGGAATCGCTCCTGAAAGAACACGCCACTAACACCATGCGAAAAAATATTGGCACCATTCTCTCCGAATTAAGTGTATGAGGATGCAAAGTGATATACATTCGAGAAAAATACATGCTGTTGAGTATAACGTTTCTATTTTTTATATTTCGCGGTCCTCAATTTATTATTAGCGGGGGTCATTAACTTCTATCCTATCCTTCGATTGCTTCCGTAACTTGTTTACTCCTTGACAAAGGGCAGTGTCATCTTTGCGAGTACCTTCACTAATTGCAATTTGATAAATACCTTCCGTGGTAAATTTCTAAGAGGAAATGTCATTCCGTAGCTAGTGCAATAAGAAATCATAAATTGGTACTGACTCTATCAACTGCGAATGCTTCACTTCCCCTTTGTCACCCGAGCTGACAATTCTATAAATGTAGTCTTAATTTCCTTTAAATTCATCTGATTCATCTGCTTTCCGTTTTCCCATGTTTGTGTGGTAAGGACTTTCGAGTTGCATAACGTTTTGCATGATGCCCACGATCTCATGATTCTGCTTTCTTTCAGTGAAAGCAAATTAATTGTTCTCGCTATCTACTACATCTCTGATTGCGTGATCGACTCGACCTGTCGCTTCTTCGCTTATGATTTCAAGCTGAGGTTTCGGATGATTCCATTCTTTTGGCAATGTAGATAGACGCATCCAATATTATGACAATGTCTTCACTCTTTTTTAGTTAATTTTTGAATAATTTTTTTGCTCCGTAAAGCTTTTCAGTAGGTATTCCTTCAATAACGCAATTTTTTTATTTTGCCCTTTACACAAAAGTCACATTCGAGATTAGAGCATTTATTTTGTTCGTTCATGAACCTATTGTGCCTATTTTGTATTTTATATCTATGCTTGTCGACTACCAACAAATGTCATAGTTGATAAAAAAACCACCATGTTATTTCCTGAGACATCGGCAATCCCGGATTCCTCAGCAAAAAAATAATCTCACCCAAATAAGTAGACTTTCTCATAAGAATGAAAAGTGATAGTTTCCAAAAAATTCACTCACATCCCAAAATATAAATTTTTGTCAAAGATAAACGTTGTGGATTACCGTTATCTCTAGCATAAAATATTCTGTTTCACAAGATTTTCTCAAAACGCGTATCCTATTAACGTTAATGTTTTACGCGTCAAAATATTATTTGTTTTCTTCCTCCGCCTTTGGTCGAGTAAAACAATGTCAAAATTTCCCTCAAATGAAATAACCCTATACATACCAGGCCCACCGAAACCGCGTCCACATCCACGCTCGAGTGCTTTTTCAATGACGACGCCTGCAGCAGCAACCTCTGTGGCAGAAAACCAAAGGATTCCTCTAGTTGAACTACAGCCTGCCTATCAAAAACCGCAGCAACAACAACCACAATCACCCTCGACAATCACAGAAGAATGGCGAAAACTAAAAAGTAGCCAATGTAATGTTGTGTTTGGGAATAATGGACTAACTAGAGTCGCAACGACGACGACCACAAAAAGCTTCAAAACTGTAAATAACAATAACAATATTAATAATAGCAACAATATAAAACTGGCGCCGTCTACTTCAAAGATACCACGTTTGAAGAGATCTGCCGGTTCAACAGCAACTTATTATCCAACGTTATTACTGCATGGTCAACAACATCAAAATAATATTAAAAAGACACCTCTATATAAAAACGATGACATCAAGACAAATTCACCTAATCAAGAACCACGATTTGCTTCCTCGTCGTCAGGAAATCACAAACTCGAATGGAATTCGACACCAATGAATCATCCAAAATTCGTAAACTTGAATAACACTGGACAAGTTTTGCCAAAATCAATATTATTTAAAAAAACGGCCATCATGGCAATGTACAAGAACTTTTACATGCAGTCATCAAAGACTTCTGGATTCTTTATTGCAAGAAATTGTTCTGATGAGGCTGGAAATGATGATGAATTAGTTGTGGATCGGTTTGATGCCGGACGAAAGATAAAGATATGTGGTGGTAGTGATGATGAGATCAAAGAGCAGCTTCAGCCTACTATTTTGATGGATCGAGATGTTGCGATAAAAGTTTTCAAATTAGAATCATCGGAATTAAAGCAAAATAATAATTATTCTTTTCAAACAGAACATTTTAAGTGTGCTTTGGATGATCTTCGAACAGAACTTTTATTGGATGATAGAGGTGTATCTTCTAACAAATGGTCAAGCAGCAGACTAGTAGCTAGTTGTACTTATGATACTCTAAGTGACTCACTGATGATAATTTATCATGAATTAAGGATTGTAAATGTACAATTAATATTAACACAAGTTACCGGATTTGATGATATTTTAGCATCAAGACAAACTCTATCTCTACCATCCAAATCCTCCAACAGCAGCGGTATATGGTGGTTAAATTCAAGTACAGATGACCAAATTTCATTTTCTTCTATTTTTTCTGTTAAATATCTAAAGTCACCATCATTTATAATGGACGGAATTTGGATGAAAATCGGAACCAATGAGTCTACGATACCGAATTGTTGTCTTCGACATATTTTGAGAAATGGTTTGATTGAGAAAAGCCCGCATTTCTTTAGGGAGAATTTGAAAGTTATTTGTATATCTAAAGAATATGATGACGATAAAGAAAATAGTAATAATATTAACACAGTTGTATTTTATGAATGCAAGTTTCAGTTTGGCGATTCTATTCTTGATGTGTCCTTGGGCTCCACAACTATTTCTATGAAAAAAATTGAATCATCATCATCATTATCGGGGACCCCACCACTGGCATGGCTACTAAACTTGGTACAGATCAATACAATAGTGGATACGAGTTTCGTAAATGCAATGAATAAAGTATTCAATGGTCCTATCATGCTAACGAATCCAAATAATAATAGCAGTGATATTAATAATTATAATGATAATAACAATTACATGAATCTCAAAAATAATGTGACTAAGCCAATTGAAGAGAGGTCAGGAGGGCTAGATATGCCTCGAAGCACCACAACTACTAAAACCATGTCCCGATCCCAAAATTCAGATCAAACAAAAAAATCAGATACAAAAGTGTCAGCTTCATTGTTCCAGAAACAACAATCAGCACCAACATTAAAAGTGATAACACCGGAAACAATACAACAAATGATTTTCGTGCATCAACAGAAATGTCTGGACTTTTTGCAGAAACAAACGGAAATTCTTCAAGCACAAATTTTCGGTGCGTTACTTTCCTCAAATGATGTCGCTGCTGCGCAAATCGGGACATCAATGGCACATCATTATAATCAGTCCTCCTCGTCAATAATGGCAACTGCTTCAAATACTCGAATATTTACTCATCATCAACAGTCTGTTGGCATGGATCCGGATTACGGTGAAGACGATGATGATTTCTTCGATTATAATGTTTCAATGAACAAAAAGACAATGCGCTGTGATCTTGGAAATAACCAAACATTTATAAAGACCGAGACAACCATTATCGGCAGGAACAATAATAACCTCCACAACTACAATAATAACAATCATTATTATTACAGAGAAAAACATGAGAATAACCATATTGATCCAGAGATATACAACGAAATTACTAGCCAACAACAACGATTCAGAACCTTTGACGAGTTGATGGTGACGAATAATAACAATGAGAATATTGATAATGGTCCATCACCGTACCACGATGTCGAATCAAAAATGGCATTAGCAGCATCACGTCATGATCAAATAAGTAATAACACCTACAGGCGAGATGATCGAAATAGCCAGAATTTTAAAGAGCTTATCGGGAAATTTGTTAATGATCCGGAACAGAGTTTTATATTAAAGGATTCTTCCTCCAATTTTAATAATAACAAATGACAATGACGATAATGACTATTAGACGCATAAAAATTTTGAAATTGTAAAATTATTAGCTTATTTATGTATGTATTATTAGAAATTAATCAAAATTAATAGTGCTCATATAATCATAATAGAAAATATTAAGGCGTGATTACTGTTCGTAGTTCCAAGAGTATTAATTTAGACAGGTTTTATTGCGCATTGTAGAACGTCATAGATAAAATGTTGCATGGCAAGTTTAATATTGTAATCTTTGCAGAAAGCGTAATCAAGTAGATGATGGTCTTTGCCAGCATCCAAAAGATTGTATTTCGTGATCTTGGCGCAAGTACTTGTAAAAGCAACATTATCTGGCCAGATTATCATGTTTTAACTCTATGCTTTGTGATAAATATGAAAGTATTATTGGGTTCTGCTGTTGTTTTAAACAATACTCTAGCATACACATATTTAGTAAGTGTTTTGAATTATATTTGGTAAGCATTAATCCATAATAATATATTTTTTGAAAAAAGATTGTATTTAATATTAAGAATGCTTGCCAAAATTCAGGAATTTCAACAATCTGTTAAGCCAAAATTATTAAATACTATTTTAGCCAATAAAGTTTAATTGCTGAAATGCCAAAATTAAAAGTTGTGCTAAAATTCAAAGTCATGTCAAAATTATATTAAAAGTTAAAATTATGTTAAAATTCAAAATCATATAAAAATTTAATATAAAAATTATCAAAATTCAAAATTATGTTAAATTCAAAATTATGTTAAATTCAAAATAAAATATAAAAATTATCAAAATTCAAAGTTATATTAAAATTCAATATAAAATATTTTAGCTTAACAAATTAATAAATTAAATTAAATTAAATATTTTGAAATAATTTTTATATAGAAAATATCTTAAAGCTAAAAAAGATACTTAATAAAATTACTTTTCTCAAAAAATTATTTCACAATTATTTTTATTATACATATAATAAAATTAAATTTATTATGATTAAATTAATTTGATCAAATAATTATAATATAGCGATAGTAATTATATTTTATTAATTGAAATTGTATTATAATATTAAATTATATTATAAATATAGTAATAATAAAAAAGAATGAAATACTAAAACAAATTTATTAATAAAATATAGTAAAATATGAATTTTTTTCTTTATATAAAAGTTTTTAGTTTTATTTTTATATTAAAAAAAGATTATATTATATATTTTAATATATATTTTTTTCAAATTTTTTAGATTTAACTTGACAAATTATTATAAATTCTTGAATTTAAGTAATCAATTGTATCGTTATTTTTTAACTGATTTTTTATTGAAAATTGCTTAAATTTAAGAGTTTGAATCTGTCTTTAAAAATAAAAGTATATAATAATCAGAATATATAGTTAAAACTCTCAAATTTAAGTAATTTCACAAAAAATTAGTCAAAAAATAATAATACTTGAGATTATTTAAATTCAAGAGTTTATAGTATTTTATTTATCAATTTTTTTATTTTTATTCTTATTATTAATTTTTTTATTAAAATTTTTAAAACAGTTATAATATAAAAATTATTATTAATTTGATTTTATTAATATTTAATATAAGTTGAATTTTTAGTTTTTTTTACTTTGTAATAATTTTTACTGTTTGTAACAAATTTTAAAATTAATTAACTTGATATTTTTAAAAAAAAGTTATAGTATCATATTTATTTCTTTTTAATTAATATCAAAAAGTATTATTATTAATTTAATTATTGAATAAAAAATTATTACTTTCAAAATTATTTTTTTTAATTATTAATTAATTATAATTAAATTTTTCTAAGTATATTTTTTTCAAGATTATAGTAAAAAAATATAAAAAGTATATTTAAAGAGTGTGTATATTTATAGAAATAGAGTTTTTATAATTAAAATCAAGTTATATTATATATTTATTTTTTGATAATATAAACAAATACAAAATTTAAAATATTATAATTAATAATATATAAGTAGGGTTCCGAAAAAAAGTCTGGTTCGGTTCGAGTCTGGTTCGGTTCGAGCTTGAACCGGACTCGAACCTGA